CATCTCCAAGGTACGCATCAAACCCATGCATCTTGAGCCAGCATCACCCTCTTCTTCGGACGGCTCATTCCCTCGAGGAGGAGAGATTCGGCCCGGGGGAGACGGAGAGTTGCACCCTTGAAGAAAGACCTTTCCATCCAGCATGGAAGCAGGTCATAAGTCTCTTTCCCTGTTTCCCCGGTAAGGTCGACACTCCCATCAGCTCGTGGCCTCTTCGCCTTTGAAGAAACGGCAGCAGGATACAGGGCGACCGTGGCCTGGGCTGAGGAAGAATCGCCCGATTCTGAGGCAGGAGCTGGCCCCACGCCAACCTGTGTATCCTTTATAGCCCTTCTCACTCGAGCAGCAAGTGTCTTGGCTAAACACTCCTGGGAGGGATTCATATTTTCTACAAAACAAACAAAAAAGAGAATAGTAAGTAAAACGAGGAATCAAACAAATAACAATCACTTACTGCTATTAAAAATATATACCCAAATATCTAATGGGATCCTTGCTCCCGAGGAGCTCTCTGAAGTTTATAATACCAGGCTCATACACGGGCTCCCCGTTCCTATCCAGCACTGGCCTACCCCCCGACCAACTCGCTAGACCAAAGGGATTTGAGCTACAAACGGGGTCAGAGTGGCAAAGCTCTCCAGATCCTCATCCCCGAGCTCCCCCTCTCTCAAAATGTAGAAGCCCAATTCTCGCTCGAAGTGCTTGCTGGAATATTGAAACGGGAACTTGCAAATCAGCATCGCAGTAGGCTCCCCCAACTCGTTCATACAAGGAGTCCCATCCTCGTTAAGCAATGAAACGGTCCTAAAAATGTTCAACATCACCTTCGTCGAAGAGGGCTGCACCAAGATATATTTTTCCTTAAAGTTACGGACAGATTCCACATAGGCCTTGAATAAATTCCATTGCCTTATTTGACGGAGACCCATCCCCACTTTCCGTCAGTCTTACTCCTATGGATGTGAAAACAGTAGAAAAAAAATGGGATTGTGGCCCCTATCTTTAGATGGTCGCACACTATCTGGAATGCCCGCACAAACACAATACCATTCAGATGCAACTGAGAAGGAGCCACATGCAGATGCTCGAAAAACGGCCACCTCGAAGTCGGAGAAGGGAAGGCGAAGACCCATATCTCGAAAGATAATATCATACATTGGGATTCGCCTCCTATCATACCTCAAGCAGATCCTGCTGTCCTTCCCAGGGATATACAACGACCACTCTTCCGGGGCCCCCTCCTCGTGAGTATACACGTCAGTAAAAACATCCTCCTCGTGCTCGTAGAAATACGACCGCCACTCCCAAGGGTCTCTCGTGACCCAATCCTAAAGGTCCTCATCATCCCGACGAGGAAACAAGCTGCCACGAACTGCAGAGGTCGCCCCCACGTCGGACTCCCCCATCAACTGTGTCGTCTGGTTCTGCACTTCCCTAAAGACTTCCAAAATGCTCGACGAATTACTGGTCTCACTCGAAAAACTCCCAGAAGACTCTGTAGACTCGCTGGAAATAACGAACTGAGCATCATCAGCCATGGCACCTGAAAAGCAGAGGAAAAAGATGAGCTCGACATCAATTCCAGAACCATCCTTCCACTGCTAAACAAGAGAAAGGGCGCTAGGAAATGAGGATCATATCCCCGACTAGAACCCTCATTGAGGCACTCTAACGGGCGTGGGTTGCAGAAAAAGCCCTGAACCCTCACTGAGGCACTCTAACGTGTGTGGGTTGCGGAAAAATCCCTAAACCCTGATGAGCCGCCTACAACACAACATGGAATCCCCGAAGAGAGCCCACGGCGGCTCCAACGGTCCTACACCACGGGAACACCGTCCACTACCAAGAGTCTCCAATGACCTCCTCCCTAATAGAACCCTAAATCCTAACCGCATGCATCTCTAGAAAGTAGAAAGCGAAAATGCGAAGGAAAACAACAATGGAAGATCAAAAACTTACCAGTAGAAGAAGAAGAGATAGAACTAAATGACCGTGAGCAGAGAAGCTAAGCAAACACCGATGGTCGACTGTCGAGATAATACTAGCAGATGAAAGCGAATGCAAAAAATACTAAATGCCCTGTTCCTCTCGTATTTATAGCTGAGATAGCCCGTGCGTGCAAAACACGCACCTGGGGAACCCTAGGGTCGTCATCATGACACCCTAGCCCTAGGTTATCATTGCGCCGCTTCCCCAGAACGCTTCCCAAAACATGCTACATCTCCAAATTCAAAAGTTCTAACGGCCAAACGCCTTGCATCCCCGCAAGCTAGGCATAACGAGCAGTGACACGCCCGTAAGACACGCCTTGTTCCTCGAGCAGATGTCAAAATCGCCACTTATGTACCCAGAAGCAACGACTTAGGGGGCTACTATTCTAGACCGACCCGACAGTTTGACTGGGCCCGGTCCAAGAGATTTCCTTGGGTACGGTCCGCACGACCGTGACCCAAATTGCCCGCACGACCCTCTCTTGTCGAGCACGACAACCATTTTCCCTTCAACGTCACCTATGCCCCCAAGATGATCGACGAGCGTCCTCTCTGTCTGCCTGACATCTACGCCATGCAGACCACCAGAAACCGACTAGAGAGATGCTCGTAACTAACCCCCTCCTCGGAACCAACGGCTAGTTGCACGCACATCTGCCCGGTTTGACCAAGTCCTGGCAGTTACCTGATTTCACGGACCCGCATATCTAGGCAGAAAATCGGGAACCAATGGCCACGCGTCAGGGACATTATATAAATCCTCACACCTGTGAGGGCTAGGTATTCAATATTCACTACTCACTACCTGATATTTCTGTTTGTACCTCCTTGTTCCCGCTCTTACTTGATCGTTGGAATGTCTTGCAGGTACACCCCCTTTTTTTCCTCAGTCTACAACCCGACTGCAGATCATCCTCCAACCGCTCTCCAAGTTCTGATCAACCGGCAAGATCAGGTAGTTTTTACGATCAATGAATTATTTTTTAGACACGACAGGCTTGCATAACATGATCCGTTCAGAGTAAAAAGAGTCAACAGCCGCACACTCCTTCTACCTCTAGAAAAGTTGATGCGGAGGCGTTAGGTTTCAGGGCTCACGTATCTCCACCTTCTTCTTCGTCCTCCCGTAGTAGGCGAGGGTCCCCTTCTCATGCCTCCCCACCTCAATCTTCATGTAGACACATGAATTCACCTATTCAGACACCTGAGGCAAGAGAGGCGTCATATTCCTAGGAGACACCAGAGGCACCTGAGATCATGGGAGGTGTAACAAAGATGACATACTGGAGTTGATGGTAGACTATCTAAGGGTTGACCCAGAGGCTGCCATTAAGGAGTTTGACTTCACCCGTGGGGCTCATGCTAGGTTTAGATTTTTGTAGAAGATGTTTACAGATGAGATAGTGAGATCACGAATAATTGTTGGTGATGACGAGCAGGTATGGATGCATAAGGGGTATGCTATGAGAGCATACCTGTTGTATTTGGTTGGCGCTACCATTTTTTGGATAAGAACGCCACTTATGTGGATGTCATATACCTGCGATACTTTGAGGACTTTGAGCAGATACATGAGTAGAACTGGGGAGCCTCTTGTTTGGTCTACTTGTACTCTAAGTTATCTGAAGGTTGTATGTGGAAGACGAGGTACGTGACAGGCGATATCACAGTTTGGACGGTAACATTTCTTGGTCTTCTATTGGTTGTGTGTAATTTTGTTAAATATTGCAACGCTGTTACTAACTAATGATTTGTGTTTTTCAAGCTTAGATCCTCCAACACTTCCCACGCATATCCGGGTGGTCACTTGAACCGACTTATACTAAGAATAAGCCGCATGCTTCTGCATCGCCCCGTTCAAAGGGAATCAAGCGACAAAGTCGTTCAGAGTGTATATTGACCGCTTGGCATTTTAGGATATACACTTTCATTGTCACGTCGATCACCGAGAAACAATTCTCTTTGATGACATTGTTATATACTCTGGACGATTGGATTGCGGGTCACGTTTGACGACTCCTCATCTGCATGAGTGCGCCATGCGTCAGTTCGGCTACATGCAGTACATTCTTAGAGATCCTTCTGTGTATATTCCTTTCACTATAAAATGCAGAGATATGGATGCTATATTTGATGATTATCTTAATCATATGGTACCAGAGAAGGCATGAAATATCATAGCTGAGAACGATTGAAGTTACATACGCAGTTACATCTGGTGGTTCTTTCGAATGTCACATCCTTATATGGTACAAGATGCTCTAGGTGATCCACCTAGACTAGCTCTTCGGGAGATACTAGAAGAGGAGAAGGGTAGGGCATATCATGTTATTGATGTCTTGTCTAGGTGTCGTTGTATCATGCAGATTGGACAGACAAATATTGATTGATAACTCTTTTCGGATGGCTTTGAGGCGAGAGACATCGTAGATGCCATGACTCTTTCTATTTTACCGTCCAAGTTAGAAATTCAACTAACTATTCTTCAACTTGAAGGTGAGTGTTAGATGATAATTCTATAGCTTGAGGGAGGGTGGTGAATGATAATTCTACGTTTATTTCCTATGTTCATTGAGTGCTAAATTAGTTACTTTAGTTTTTTTTGAAAGACCAAGAAATGTATTAAAAAAACAAGGCATAAGTAATGCCCAATTACAAACAGGTCTGATACATACATTGGATTAAAATACAGACCAACTCCTGAACTAGTTTACCAATATCATAAATTACATACACCACAGACCCTGAAGGTAGAAAAATTACACCCTGCAAATTAAAAGTTTCAGTCTGTGCAAAGACAAAAAAGTTGCGACACCAAATTAAGGACCCGCTCGAAGACCACCGGAAACGCAGGATCCCAAAACTTATTGATTCCGGCAGCAACAGGTCCTACTAACGCTGCCTGCACCTCGACTAATAAACTCTAACAAAGCTACCGCAGACAATACACTCTATCACACGCAAGAACGAAACACCAAGCCGCTCGGCACTGGATCATAAACGTAACGCTTAATCCTTCCGACCAGCTGACAGTTTCAGTCCAGAATAAATAGAACCACAAGAAAATTGCTGCCAAATATCACCGGAATTGTTTGACAGAACCGACCCCACATCTACACACTGCGATAATACTATCCCCGAACGATACACTCCACATTGATGCAACTGAAATGCTCTGAGCAGACATCGCGCACAACCATACTTCCAACGACAGACATACTCCACTTGAACATACACCCTGGGCTGCTGCGAAAGAAGGCTTCATAAACATTCTAAAGGGTTTGAAATCCATTGGCTTAAGGAGTAGTTGAAGCCTTTGAACTTAGACCTTAACCACATCCAAGCCAGCACCTGAATTTCTTCAATCCAGTCATCTAACGACCCATTTGAACTTCTGAAAATCTTTCTGATACGAATTTTCCACACAACCCAAATGCAAGCAAACCAGATAACTGAGAATTTGTTATCCCTCACTCTACCCCTGCCAAGCAGTCCGGTGAATTGCTCTAAATGATCAATGGCAGAGCTATGTAGAGCAGATGATATATTTATCCATGAAAGGGTTTTCTGCCACACAGTAGAATATAAAGGACAGACAAAAAAGAGATGAGACGAGCTTTCATCCATTCCGCACCCTGCCGAGCATCCAGATTGAGACTCACTCAAGATGCCTCTTTTAATGAGATTGTCCTTTGAAGGAAACCTATTCTGAAAAAGTCTCCAGGCCAGCACTGCTACCTTAGACGGGACCAAGCTGTTCCAGGCACTAGCTAAAGATCGATGATTTTCCAAAACTACTCCATCCAAAATAGAGTCATGAGCTTCTTTTACAGAATATTAGTTATGTTAGATAGTTATGACAATTACAACCAGACCAACCTTTCCTTGATTCTACCTTTCCTTGTGTAATAATGAGAAACACATAATATTCATTTAATAACTAAATGTTGTATCAATACTTTTACCATCTTAAATTTCATATAGATCTCCACAAAATTATATATTGTGCATACTTAAACAAAAGGTAAGGGAAAGCAGAATAATCATAATTTTAGGCCTGGTGTTTCTTGCACAAGATTTAAGCACACATTAAACATTACCAACCACACCCTAATATCTTAAGGTTCAAATTATTTTATACAACTCCCAACACACATATTAAAACAAACATCACATCACGTGTAGATGATAACAGTAATCACCAAAATATAACAAGCAGTTTTCAGGCTTTGGTGCAGACATCTCCATCACAAACCCATCCATTTTGGGGCTTCTCTTCTTCCTCGGCACCATTTATGCTTTCTTTGTCTCCCAGTGCACAATTTGGATGGAGATCAAAGTCACAGTCTTCACAGTAGTATGACCAATCATGTCCCTCCTCATTGCAACCATCACAGTAATAAACCCTGCGGCGTGCTAATATAAGCTCATGCTCATGTGTTTCATGCGTCACCTTCTCAGGCCACCCCTTTGCAATTTCATCTCTTTGTGCCTCTATTTCTTTGATTCTCTCCTCGGTGAAGGGATAAGCATCTGCTCCATGAAGCCCAACCAGATCTCGAGCTTCATGCGTGACAGTCCGGCCACTTGGTCCGATTGCCACGAGCTTGGGGATGCCAGATACCTTGAATTTGCGACTCAGTAATTCTTTCCTTGAGTCACCAAAGGGAAGTGCCAGCCATGGCATTTCCTTAAAGAAATCATCAAAGGAGTCTTGATCCCTATCACTTGAGATGAAAACGACTTCTAGTGCACCATTGTCATGTGCCTTAATCTTATGGTATGCATCAATGAGTTTTGGAAGAAATGCACGGCATGGAGGACACCATTGGGCTGAGAAGTAGAGGAGGACAGTCTTTCCCACTAATTCTGACACCGGAAGCTGAAATGGGAACAAATGCTAACTTGTTAATATAACATCAAAATGAGGAAATCACTCCACATAGTTCAGCAAAATTTATATTATAAGAAGTTTTACGTTCTCTCCGCCGTTCTTAATAACAAAATCTTGATCCCCAGACACCAAAAATGACTCAAGTGTTTGAGATGCCTCCTTGGCCTTTGCTAATTCTTCGAGCTCGACAAACTTTTCAGGAGTGAATGGATATGCAACAATCCCATGATCGGCAATGGCCTCAGCAACATTAGTATGACGAGTTTTCCCATCTGGCCCAATAATAACCAAGGTGGGGAGCTCTGATAACTCAAAGTACTGAATTAGTTTCGCACAGGTTTTGTCCTTGAGAGGCAAGGATACCCAAGGCAAACTTTCTAATTCTTTCTGGAATGACTCTTCCTCGTCATCTACAGGTATAAACACAACCTCAAAGTTCTCCCCATTTTCCTTCAGCTTCTTGTAAACCTCCTTAAACTGTTGAGTAAATACTGCACATGATCTGTATGAAGTCGCGCAAAAATACAGACCAACTGTCTTCCCCTCAAGCTCAGAGATAGGTGTCTGTGAACACATGAAAGGAAAGATTAGTAATTGAACCACTGATTTGTGACAAACAGCTAGATAATAACAAAGAAAGAACTATCAATAAATTTTGAAACTTTTGATAAAACTATTTGTATGTTTCTTATAACATCCTCAACCATTTCTTATCTCATTATACCTATTTCTTCATTTGCAATAACTAGCGAAATGTATTATTGACAAAAACCATAGTTAATATTGCTTTAAACTTAGAAAACAAAATCGAAAAGGAGCAATTTTTTCTACATAAGCAACAACTATATCATACATAGAGATGTTACTAGCTTACTTTTTTTCCATCTGCAGATATCACAAAGTCGCGAGAACTAGAGACCAATATAGACTTCAAGGACTGGTTCCTCTTAGCTTCCTCTTCTTGATCTTTCAAGTCCTGGACCCTTTGTGATGTGAAAGGGTATCCTTCAGCTCCATGCTCACGGATAATGTCAACTACATCTTCAGCGGCAACTTTTCCAGTTTCATCTAGCAATGCAAGATGAGGAATGCCGTTTACATGAAACAAATCATCAAGACGACTGCGTGTCTCTGAATCAGAATAGGGTACAGCCAACCACGGCATCTTGGAAAAGTAGCTCTGAAAGGCCTCATCATCTTCGTCAGCGGAGAGAAAAACAACCTCAAATTCACCCTTTGGAGAGAGTTCATTGTACACCTCCACCAACGTTGGTGTGAATCTTCGACACGGACCACACCATGATGCTGAAAAATAGAAACCTAGTTTCTTTCCCTTCAAACTGTCAATTGTAACCTGTGAATTTCAAAATTTCAAAATATAAGAATAGAAATAGCACATGAATAAACCTATGAAACACGAACACCAGAAACAAGACGCAGACACTGGGACGGTAACACGAACACCAGAAACACGACACAGACACGTGACACGGAAACACTCACAGGACAATTTCAATGAAAATACAAAGTGATGATGCCTTAAATTTCATGAAAAAACTGGAAAAGCTAAGAGGAGGAGTAACGGTGGTGGCAGTACCTGATCGCCGTTGTTCCGAATGAGAAAATCTCTATCGGGAGAAGAGAGAATAGAGTGAAAATCGTGAGTAACTTCAACAGAATCTGCCATCGTTAGTGGAGAATTGAGAGTGACTGGTAAGGTAATAGAGAATTGATAGCAAGACTGGCGAAACAAGGACTGCTTATTTATAGTTGCTTTGCAAAGGTACTTTAATTAGGGGCTAAGAAAACTAAATTATCCCACACGCCATCTTCTTAATCTACTTTTAATCAAATTTATTCTATTTAATTATCTATTAATGTCATATTATATTATTTATTAATCAATATTTTATGTTTAATGTAATTTAAAATTCTATATTATTTTATTGTCCAGATTCATTTATATATTTCATTTGCTTTCATTTTAAAGTAATTGCTAAACTATTAAATAGTTTTAATTTTAGTTTTTTATATATATAACTGACGTGTTCAATCATTTTTGTTACTCCTTTCACTCTTTTTGTTAAATTAAAAAAAATTATTAAATAAAAAATTATGAGAAAATAGAATATACAATAGTATATAATATTTTTATATTATCGATCAATAAAAAAAAATATATCAAATTAAATTATATTTTTATTTATAAAATATTAATATGACATGATTTAAAAATATTGATCGATTGAATGTATGATATTGTTTTATACTATTTTTGTATTATTTTAAATTTTAGGATTGATAATAATTTTTTTGTTTATTTATTAGAATAAATAATTATATTTATAATAAATAAATATTGATTGTAAAAAAAAAGTTGATGTGTTGTTTTTAGAAAAATTATATATTAATTAAATTAAAGAAAATAAATAATATTTAATTTCTAACTCTAGATTAATACAGTTTTTTTTTAAAGAATTAGAGTGCGAAAGTTAAATTAAAAAATTTTAAATTTTTTTAAAAAAAAATTTAATGTAAAAAAACAAAAAAATCATCCAAAAACAAAAGATATTAGTCTTTATCATTCATGTTTTCCGTCTCCGACTGAATTTATGTTTTCTTTATTATATTTTTAAGGCAAAATACTCATTTTGGTCCCTTAACTATATCATTGGGTTCATATTGGTCCCTTAACTTTTTTTTTGTCATTTTGGTCCCTTAACTTTCAAAAAGTTTTATTTTAGTCCTTTTTTTCTAAATTCGTAGCTAATTAGACTGAAAAACTTTGAAATCAGCCGCTAAATTCGTAGCTAATTAGACAAAAAAGACTAAAATGAAACATTTTGAAAGTTAATGGACCAAAATGACACGAAAAAAAGTTAAGGGACCAATGTAAACCTAAGGATATAATTAAGGGACCAAAATGAGTATTTTGCCTATTTTTAAAAAGTTGTATTATAGAAATTTAAATAGACTCAAATAAAAACACATAAAAAAAGCAAAGATTGTCATAAATAAAAAATTGAACAAGGTTTATTCTCAAAAAGAAAAAAGAGAAAACTTTTCTTTTAATAAACTAATAATTAATTTGTGCGTTTGCATGAGTTCTAAAATGAGATGCGCTATTTTTTAATGATTAAAAGTTATTGTTTAAAATAAAAAAGTAATATTCAAAATATAGTAAAAATGTAAATCTAAAAAACAAAATTATTTTACTAATTTTTTTAAAGAAAATCAAATTTTTATAAGAAAAATAAAATTATTTTACATCAATAATATATATTTTAACTTTTTATATATTAAACTTATGCGTTTATGCGGATTATAGTATGATTATTATGCGTTCATAAGTACTGATGTGTTATCTGTGCGTTTGCATGAATATTATTGTAATATGTACGTTTTTGTTTTCATTTTACTAAAATAGTTTATTATTTTAAAAAAGAACATGTTTTTAAAATAAAAACAAAATAATTTTACCAAATTTATTTTAGATCAATAATATATATATATATATATATATATATATATATATATATATATATATATATATATATATATATATATATATATATATATATATATATATATATATATATATATATATATATTCCATATATTATCTTTAAAATATTGTATCCTAAATTAAAAATAATTTTAAAATAAAAATATTACATACATAAATAATTAAAAATTAATATATTTTTCTCGTGTTTAAATTCATATATTATTTTTATTTTTAAGTCTTTAAGTGTATAAAAATATAGTAATTCGTACGTTCGCAAGAATTTTGATATGATTACCTATACGTTCATATGATACTGATGTGTTACCCGTGCGTTCATACAATATTTCTGTTTTAAAAATATATATAAAAAATATAAATCAATAATAAATTTATTTTCGTTATATATATATATATATATATATATATATATATATATATATATATATATATATATATATATATATATATATATATATATATATATATATATATATATATATATATAAAGTATCAAAGCTAAAAAAAGTTTGACTAAAAAGTGTAGAAGAAAAAAGAAAAAAAAAGTGAGAAATCTTCTTAACATTGAGTAAAGGAAGTAAATCTTAAAATTTGTGTGCTTGTTTTTCCTGAATTTTCTTCTTCCTCTGAATAATTTTCTTCATATAGTCCTATACAATAGAATGAAAACACCATATAAATATACACTATAAAAAATATGATGAAAATATAAAATTAATCCTACATCAAAATCAGAATTTTAATCTTGTTGTTTCTTATTCCTTGAAAAAAGAAAAGAAAATGAGAGATCAAGTTATTTTCCTTCTTGAGATGAAAGCAATGACAAAATTGATACAATAATTTGTTAATATTAATTAAAGAAAGTATGGTTTGACTGAAATCAACTTTAGAAATCAAACAAATGATGATTTGTGTAGGATATGTTTCATAAAAAAGTTCAATCAAAGAACAAATACTCAATGATGTAGAATATTTACATTTCTTTACAACAAATGCAACAATTGATCCTAAAGTGTCAATCCATATATAATAAAAAAAATAACAAATCTGTTCTTTTTAAGCAAGCCGAATATAAGTGGTAGTATATGGGGACTCCAGAAATTCCATCAATCTACAATGACTTTCTCACCTGAACATCAACCACAACACTTTATGTTATAATACTAAGTTTTTTCTAAAATTCATTTCTCATAACAATCCATTAATCATTATAAAAAAAGTTAAGAGAATAGTGCAAGAAAGTTTCATGATCAAGGGCTCAATTTCATATATAGAGGTTTCGATTTTAGATCTGGAGGTTTCAATTTTAAATCTGATGGCTTCAATTTTTGATTCGGTGATTTTGATTCGAGCTTTAGTGCTTCCGTCAAAAATCGTTTCAGATCCAAAAGATGAATGAGAGAAGATAAACATTTAGTGAAGAGTGATTAATAGAAATATAATGGGATTTTCCAGAATATATTTTATTATATGATAGATAATAATAGTAGTATTAAATTTATAATTTTTCATGAGATAAAATTTTAAAATATCATACTTTGTTGTATGTATTTAACACTATATTCATTTTAATTTGATTAACTTGTTCAACTCATATAATATTCATTTGGTCTACGTCAACTATAGGATCATTCCTGGAATATCAATGGCATCTTCTTAACAAAAATGGTGTGTGAACGCATTGATCGACCCAACAACTATAATCAAGCTGTCAGTGTTTCATTGGCTATATTTATTAACAGTAATAATAATAGGCGACGACTTCTTCATTCACGTCAACTTTTTCTGAATATGAAAAAAAGACGACGGACTCGTCTCTATTGTTCTCTACTTGATTCCTTTCCACGTTTTAATGGAACAACTTCGTGAACAAGAAACACGTTCTCCTTTTTTCGTTTAATATTTTATTTATTGACCGTAGATTTAATTCTTTTTTTACTCTTTATTCCATTAATATATGCTAAGATAAGAAGTCTTTTATCGTGTATGACAAGTTGCAAATTTTCATTTCTTTTGTTTTTTCTTTCAAATTTTGTACTAAAATGATAGGGCAAGGCAAGGTTGTGTGAAAGTGGAATGATGTGTACACATAAATAAAAATGGAAACTCGAAAACGACTTGTTGAAGAAAAATGCAAGAAGTACTAATTTTGTAATTATAAATTTTATTTTAGAAATTAGTAAGATATGTGTGTATGTATGGATAAATTTATTTGATAAGGTATAAAATATATTTAAATAAATATATAAATTTAAAATAAATTATTTAATTATAATGATTAAATAAATTATATTATATTAAATAATTATATTAAAAGAAAAAAAATCGTGAGATGAAGAAAACATAAAAGAAAAATTTTAACATTTAAAAATTAAAGTTTTACTTTTAAAATAAAAATAATTATTGATTAAAATGATTGTGTATTGTGTCGATACTGATCCGTAACATAAAAAATTAATTGTTAGTAAAAAATAACTATTGTTAGTTTAAAAATGTGTTGTTCTTCCTAAAATTTATATGAAAGTGTAAATTAAGAGATAAAATGTAAAGAGAGAAAGTAACTTATATGACATGAAATAAAAAATGAAGAGATAAAAAGAGAAGAAAAAGAATACAACCGTGCACCTATATTTAGTTTGACATCAACCTATATTTTGTCTCACACCTTAGGCTAAACACAATCTAAAACTTAAGAAATTCTAAATTATACCAACAATTAAATGCAATTTGATAGGTTACACCATGCAGCCACACTATAAATTTTAAAGGCATGAGTAAATTAAAAGGTTTAGATTATTTCATTTGTATTTTTTTTTAAGTAATATAATCCATCATATAAGAAAACTAAGTGTTTTTGGAAATACTAATTATGTGATATTAACTTATATTAAGTCACGTGGATGCTTTCACAACGACATATTCCTTTTGCTTTTACATTATCTCTTTCTCTTTCTTCTTTATATTTTTTTAAACTGACGTTTTCTCTTTCTCTTTCTCTTTGATCTTCATCTTTTCTAAATCCGATAACCAATTCCTACTTCTCTTCTGTAGCAGTGAAAAATTGAGATTAAGCTATTGATTTACTTAACTCATAAAGTGAAAGTCGTCACCGCACTTTATTGTTTCTAAAAGAATGGGAAAAGAGCGAATAAAACTCACAA